TTTATTATTTTGCTGAATATAAAAAATTTGCTTTTGGAGTTGTATGGCAGCCACCCGAACCGGTACAGCTATCTGATTAAAATTTTTAGAGCATATGTAGAATATAATTGGACACATGTATACAAAATTTTATATTTGTACCTTTATTAGTTTTTGAAATAATTAAAATAAACTCTTTGAGTTGTATGGCAGCTACCCGAACCCGTTGTCCGAATTGGTCCAATAACAATAGGGTTCGTCCTTGGTGCGATCGGACGGACGGGCGGACATGTCTAAATCAACGCAGAATTTTACACTGAGCAAGAATATATATGTATGTATATGTCCATACCGCAGATGACTCCTTCAAGTAGTTACAAACTGCATACCAAAGTTAATACACCCTTCACGAAGTGCAGGGTATAAAAAACTATTTTTATTTTCATAATTGCATTTAAAATTGTAAAATTAAAAATTTTTAAAGAATTGGGTATTAACCACCTATGCTTACGTATGTATGCAAATCTATGACTCTTTGTAGAATTGAAGCAAAATGATTCAGTGTTGAATTATTAGTAAAATTTTTTTCATTCCTATATACATAAGTGGGAGTCAGATAGCTTTCCTTCCTACATGTGTGATGTTCAATATGTTTTCTATTTATGCCACTTATTTTGAGCAGAAGCAATTAAAATAAAGTTGGGTTAAACCTATGGATTGTATTGTAGCACTTTTCCCTTTAACAAGTGAAGATACTACTTTCAAAAACAATCTATGTATACCTGTTACACTATTAAATTACGATAATTCAATGAACAATTTGCAGTCTTTGAAATAAAGTGAAAAAAAGATTGAATTTTAATTTCATGGAATTTATCGTTCGCTCTCTGCCTTTATAGAAATTTGAAAAAACTTAGGGTTTTGTAAATATAAGGTGCCAAAAATTCAAATTTTACAAATTTCGTGAAACGATAACTTGAGAGGGGGTGGAGATAGAAGTTTTTAAAATTCATGTATTGTATCCCTTTCCTAAAATTTCCTAAAAAGCTTCCTCCAGATACTTATACGTTTCTAATGAGTTTAAGTTACTTTTTCGGAGTAATACCTTGGAACGACGTGTTAACCAAGACTCCACCGAAACAGTCCTTTTTCATCACTGGAAAAAAATGATACATAATCTCTGCTACTCTATATAATCTACAATAACTGATCAGTTTCTTAGCTCAGTTTTCTTAAACCTACAATGCCCAGTAAAGAAGTACATGACCATTCTAACATGTTTTCTGCTCATTCTGATGATTGTTTTTCAATTAATTATTTCTCCTCCTCCTATTCAACATGAATATGTTTACTTTTTATTTCAGTACAGGAAAAATGTTATGCTCTTTCGACAAAATTACATAAGTATGTATATTTACATATTTCTTTTCATTATTTGTTTACTCAATTCTTGAGGGCATCACAAATACTTTGTACAATAATTTTGAAAAATATAAAATTTTTAAAAATTATATTAATTTAATATTTTTAACATGTATAAAAAATTATTCTAATGTAAATAAATTGCATAATAATGAATGATTGCATATATATGTGATCAGGCGCGGCTCTGATGTATTCGTCGCCCTAAGCGGTTCCCAAAAATTGCGCCCCCCCTTCAACCGTTTCAACTATTTTACTAATGTGAACAAAATTTAATAGCCATTCCACATTGTGCATCATAAAGCACTTTCTTGTAACCTTATTATGCTGAATTATAGAATTAAAGTCTGGAACTAAACTTTCAATTTTTTGTTTTATAAATTCAAAATCAAGGTAATTTATTTAACTGTATGTTTTTCTATGAAGTTATGATCAGATTTATATCAATCACTTGATTTTAACAACCAAAAAATTTACTTTTCGACGTAAGTGAAACTTATTGTAAAATGTTCTATGAAAATTATATCAAATAAACTTTTTCAAAGCTTATTTGAATAGGAAAAAAAAGTAAAAATTTATTTACTTATATACTTAAATTAGATTGTACATAGCGAAATTTTATTCGTAATTTTAAATTTACGAATAAAATTTGGCTTTTTATTTCACAAATCGCCTGAGAAATGAAGCAGCGTATAAAAAAAGTTTCGACTTGCATTCAAAAATTTAAGGAAAATCAAAGTTTCGTTCTAAAATTTATGACTTGAAAACTAAGCTTTTTATGAACATTGGTACAAGCTTTTATACTGTTCGTTAAATTTTTTAGACTTTATTAAAATAAATGCATTTGCTGGTATTTATAGGCTTGTGGTTTTGAAATTTCAGAATGTCGTTTTGCTAAACTGTTTTAATTTTGGAGATTTATTCTTATTTTTTGGATAACTTACACTACATCAATTCAGCATAAAAATTCTTAACATTCACTTGATTATTAAACAACATTTTTTCAATTCAATATAAGTAGTAGATTTTATCAATTAAAATTTAATTCTGTGATTGATAACAGTTTTTTCAAAAACGAAAGCAGAACATAGTAGTAGAAATTCATAACGATCATGTAATTTTGAAATTCATTCAAAATTTTTTGTTGTTAGACAAAAAGAAAATATTGGTATACACAATCTCAATATCAAGCTATGCATTCCATTATTTAAGAATATTGCTCTCATTCTCTTTTTCTAATTTCTTTCTATTCTCATTCTTAATTTTTATACCCTGCACTTCGTGAAGGGTATATTAACTTTGGTATGGAGTTTGTAACTACTTGAAGGAGTCATCTGCGGTATGGACATAATATATATATTCTTGCTCAGCGTAAAATTCTGCGTCGATTTAGACATGTCCGTCTGTCCGTCCGTCCGTCCGTCCGTCCGTCCGTCCGTCCGTTCGCACGATAACTCAAAAACGAATAATGCAATCGACACCAAACTTTCACAAGTTTTTTCTTTTGTGCCGAGGACGAGCCCTATTGTTATTGGACTAATTCGGACAACGGGTTCGGGTAGCTGCCATACAACTCAAAGAGTTTATTTTAAATATTTCAAAAACTAATAAAGCTATAAATATAAAACTTTATATACATGTGTCCAATTATATTCTACATATGCTCTAAAAATTATAATGGGATAGCTGCACCGGTTCGAGTGGCTGCCATACAACTCCAACAGCAAATTTTTTATATTCGGCAAAATAATAAAGTCAGATTCATGAAACTTGGCAGTCATGTGTCCAATTATAGGTCAAATATACTTCTGAAGTTTTAGAGGAATTGCTTTACAGGTTCGGGTACCTGCCATACAACTCCAGAAGCTAATTTTAAATATTTGGAAAAATAATAAAGTCAGATTCATGAAACTTGGCAGTTGGATGTCCGATTATAGATCAGATATATTTGTGAAGTTTTAGAGGAATTGCTTGACAGATTCGGGTACCTGCCATAGAACTCCAGAAGCTAATTTTAAATATTTGGAAAAATAATAAAGTCAGATTGATGAAACTTGGCAGTTGTGTGTCCAATTATAGGTCAGACATATTTCTAAAGTTTTAATGGGATTGCTTGACAGGTTCGAGTAGCTCCCATACAAGTCTTAAAGCTTATTCTTAATATTTGGAAAAATAATAAAGTCAGATCCATGAAACTTGGCAGTTGTGTGTCCGATTATAGATCATATATATTTGTGAAGTTTTAGTGAAATTGCTTGACAGGTTTGGGGACTTGCCAAACAACTCCAAAAGCATATTTTAAATATTTGGAAAAATAATAAAGTCAGATTCATGATACTTGGCAGTTGTGTGTCCGATTGTAGATCAGATATATTTGTGAAGTTTTGATAGAATTGTTTGACAGATTCAGGTACTTGCCATACAACTCCAAAAGCTAATTTTAAATATTTGGAAAAATTATAAAGTCAGATTCATGAAACTTGGCAGTCGGATGTCCAATTATAGGTCAGACATATCCGTGAAGTTTCTATAGAATGACTTCACAGGTTCGAGTAATTGCTACACAATAACGAAAGGTGCAGGGTATTATTCAATCGGTTTATACCGACTGAAACGTTTTTACTTGTTGTTTTTTTTTTTTGTTCTTGTTGTTTACTAATGCAATAGTATACAGAAAAGTAATACATTATAATAATGTGTTTGTTTGTTTGGTGAGTGGGCGCCAACTAAGCAAAAATAAAATTTTGCATGTATGAAACAATTTAAATATAATGTGTACGAACGAGTGTAGCCAGGGAGATAACTAAGCATAATAAAAACCTTGGTTTGTGATATAATTATATGCGTACGAGCGAGTGTTGATAGGGAGCAATCTCAGCAAAATAAAAATTTTGCTTTATGAGATAATTATATGTGTACGCATGAATGTTGATCTTATACATATTAGGCAATATAAATTATGTGTACATGTGTATTTTTGAATATTTTTATTTGTTGCGTACATTGCTTCTATATATGTATGTATATTATATGAGACGATTTCACTTGTATATATGAACGATTGAATGTATACAGCTGTGTGAAATAATATTCTGTGTTTATAGGCATATACAAATTCATTCTATAATGTATATAAAAGTAATAATATTAATAATTGTAATCTGATGATTCATATCATTCAAAAAAATATGTTCTGCATTCGTATAAAAAATAAGAATGAAAGAGTAGTGTAGAGTAAAGAAATGTGTGAGTAATTTTAATTCTATGAACATTTTTTGTTATATGGTGCAAATAGAAAATATGTGTAGGAACAAAATATTATGTTTGCATGTAGGTAGATTTTATTAAGTTAATTTCGCTATAAATTGATGTATAAAAAAAAATTTGGAATCCTTTTTTTGGGTGAAATTTTTTTTTTTTTAAATTTAGGGGTTTTTTAAGTTTTCAATGGCGCCCCTATTTTTTATCGCCCATTGCAAATGCATACTTTGCATGTATGATAAATCCGGGGCTGTATGTGATGAAAATAATGCAAACATTTATGATTGCACGTAATGTAATTACTTTTAATTTTAAAATCCAATATAGCGGTTACGTACCTTTACACAAATGTAATATTGTTGATAAATCTGAAATCAAATAAGAAAATAAAATTATTTTGTAAATTTTAAAATTTGAATCATTTTAAATTTGGAAATTACTTTACCACACATACAAGTAATAAAACTTTTCTAAACTAGAAAAAACAATATTCTAAACACTCAAGTACATTTTAATTTAAAAGATTTACAGAATAATGGAAAAAAATGTATGTGAATTCCTCATAAAAAAAAACATAATCAAGCCACTTCTAAAGTTGCGGCTTTTCTTTAAGTGAAAATAATTTTTTGTAAAAAGCATTCTGTTACCCAATTATATCAATTATTTATCATTAATATCTGCACATGTTATGGAAATACATATATCAAAATATTGCATACATTTAGGATGAAAAAAAAAATTGAAAGAGCGTTAATATAATGAAGTGAGTTGAAATAAATAATTATATTCTTTAGTGGCATGGCATTTACGGCTAGCTTTATGCTTTTATAGAAATTTTGAAAAACTGACAGTTTCGGAAATATAAGACGCCGAATTTTGAGAGCTGATAATTTAGAAGAATGTGGAAATTTTTTTTTCTTTTAACGTAATAAACTATTTATTAATTCATAAGAACTGCTATAACTTCAGACCTCTATAACATGCTTATTTAATATATTTAAATCACAACTTTATTATTTCAACATTCAAATATGCTATGTATGTCACGGTAGAAAAAGCATGTCACTATAAATTTTTGGAATTCCCTGTATTTGTAGAATTATAAAATATATTTGCTGTTTCAACACAATAAAAAGTCAAGAAATGGCGTGTATTTATGGCTTTAACTTTTAACGTCAGGGGGATAATAAAATTTTCTCCTAGAAAAATACATTTCTAATACATTTCCGTGCATGAAATGTCTATTTTGAAGGTTATAGCAGTTTTCTAAATAAACACACGAACAGAGGAACGAATGGATTAATGGACGGACTGGCGGATATAATGCAGCTAACAAGCGCTTTTTTTAATTTAATTTTTAACAGTACAAAAAACTTGTCCGTGTTTCCACAAACTGACATATTTTCATATTGGTTTATTACGTAATATAACAACATTAAACGTATACTCTTTGTGCCTATATAAATTATAACTATTTATACATATATACAAATATACTTAAGCGTTATATCTACACATCACCTCAACATTTTGGTTATCTCATATTATGTAGATACGTACGTATATATACGAGTATATTTGGTTTTGACTAGTCCTTTTTTGTTAAGAATTAATCATTTCCTCCCATAAAAATAATAACAATGATTAATTTTTTTGCTTAGTGCTGTAAAATATAAAATGAAGCAATTGTTGTTTACCTAAACGTTTGCATAGAACAATGGCGTAAGACGAATGATGATAAATAAGCTTCATCGTTAATAAATCTCTTAAAAAATCACATATGTTATGTAACAAAATTTTGTCACTAAATAAACATTTACTCTGTTGATGTTGTTAGTGTGCCGTTTATTGAAAAAAATAAAATAATTAGGACACATACGCATATGAGACGAACATAATAAAGAAAAGGACATTGAAAAACCTTCAATTTTCATGTTTTATGTTCTTTTTAGCAACTTTCCAAAAAAAATTTAAAAAAAGGTGCTTATTAGTTTTACTTCGTCCGACGTTCCGTTCGTTTGTCCGTGAACGCTTTTACAAAACTTCTACACCCTTGAATACACAAAGCTAAAATTTAATTTGAAGATAGATTGAAATAGAAAAAATTTTTATCGATCTCCCCCTTCTAAGAGTTATAGCCCCTCAAAATTCTAAAAATGCGATCATTACTAAAATGATTGTAGCAAAACCAGAAATATTTTTGAAATTATGTAAACGCGAAAAGTAATGTCTGGCTTCTTCTACCGCTTCATACCATACTTGAACTTTTTGAAAAAAGCAAATTTACAGATATCTAAAATTCGCCTTTTTTCTAAATTCTTGATATCATTTTTCTTCCAGAACTCAGATTGTAGGAGTGTGAAATTTTAGCAACTCTTAGAAACTAATAAATAGTTCACATCGTTAGAGGAAAATTTTTTAATCTCTCAAGTTATCGCCTCTCCAAATTTCTAAAATTTGAATTTTCAGCACCTTATATTTCCGATACTGCAATCTCTAGCAAATTTCTATAAATGCAGGATGTTAACAGTAAATGTCATTAAAAAATATAATTATTTTTCTTAACTCACGCAATTAGCCTTTAAAATCGAGCGTTATGTTAACCCCTTTTTAATTTTTTTTTATTTTGTTTTATATCAAAGAATGCATACAATATTCATCCTAAAAGTATGCAATTTTTAAAATATATTCGTGTATGAATGAAAGTAATTTTAGTAATGTATTATATAGCTAATTTGTTTTTAAAAGCAGTATTTTCTCTTGGAAAAGTGCTACATTATAAACAATTGGTTTGATTCAAATTTATTCTAAAATATTATATTGTTAAGGCTAAGAAAATCATTTATAATTTTTACAGTTTTTATTTAAAATGGCAATATCTGCAAATATACTTTTACAAAGTTTCAGTAAAGTATATTGGAAAAGAATGAAAACTACTTACCTAGATTCCTTAATAATGTATTACGGACCTTATAATATAACAGTTAACAGTATAACAGTTACGAAAGATGTCACCTTACAATTACGGTTAAAAAACTTGCTGTTTTAGTTGTGTCTCTTAGACTTAATGTAGTGGATAATTAATAATTTTTTTAATACGTATGCGCATTTTACTTGTGCTAGAAAAATATATACAACGTAAAGTATTTTTGGTGATTGTATTCTAATTTAGTACAAAGGTGGTGTGATGCGTTTGTTATTTACTGAATAAACTGTTAAGTAAGTAAATCGAAAATGTAGAGATGTTCTAAATTATGATCAAATATGCTGTTCATGCTATTATTTCAAATCATTGAAGTTTTAACAAACGCAAATTGCATTATTAAAACACTTGGATCAACCAACTGTTATAATAATTTTGGAGGCCGTTGATAAGAACAACGTTTTGTCAATGTATCACAAAGTAAGATTGATACTGATAATTAGTGATTTTATAAACAGTATTAAAAATATTCTAAAACTGAACAATGTCAAACATGAATAATATTAGATTTAAAGAACGTCAATGCTAAGTTAGCGTGAATGCTAACGTTAAGCTTGAACCGTGTATTTAGCACGAACATAACTCCTACAAATCTTTAAATGAACAATATGGTGCAATGTCAGCCACTTTATTTACAGATTCTGTGGTAGAGACTAGTCGTTAGTGTCATTAAATGAATTTCCTTTTGGATAATTTTAAATTTTAAATCAAATTTAATCAAAAAAATTCAATTCACAGATCAAAAAGAAAACAAAATTTCAAATTATATTAAAATTGGTTCCAAAATTTAATCAAATTTAAAATTATGTGTTGCTTTACCTTAAAACAAATAAATTTGACCAATACGAGTAATCACAATGAAACAATTTTTGAATGCATTGAATAGATTCTACACTAGGAATTTTTTCTAAATATTTTTCGTATTAGAGAAAAATACTTTAAAATGGGAATGTGTTAGATTTGTCGAGAAATTCCTGCATGATTTCAATACTAAAAACATGATTTAAATCGTCCTATCAATTACAATCTATTATAAACAAAATATATTTTAAGTGTTTTAAATTTTTCCACATTTATATTAAATAAAATATTTGTTAGTAGGTCAAGATAAAACATTAGTTGGGCACATTCAGTCGGGAGAAAATTTTAAAATTACTTTTTTGCTAACTAAAGAAAATACGAGTATCTACAGTATATACAGGAATTCGAAGGAATGAAACCTGATTTAATTAAATTCATTTTTTACGAAAATGTTCTTTTATTTTTGCCTTCCATAAAACTACAAATTCTGAACATTTTTTTTCATTACTCCTTTAAAGCAGTTCAGTTTTTCCTCTAACCAAATTAAACATTGTTGCAAATGTAGAGATTGCTGATAAATTTTTATAAAAAAAAAAATTTCTATAAAAACGTTTAAATAACTTTTAATAATAAAAACTAGGAAATAGGAAATTTTTTTTTCCACAAAATTTAATTTAAAAAAAATCTCATTTTAAGAGAAGAACCGAAGACCCTACAAAATAGATAATGTGCATATTTTTGTTTTTTATAATTTTTTCACTATAATCTTTTTCCTATATATTTTCGCAATTCATTTTATTACAACGCTAAAAAAATATTTTTTTTTTAATATTAATCTTTCAACAATCAAAATGATATCCCGGCATGAATTTTAACTTAATATAAAAATTTTTAGTAGGTAAATTTTAAAATAAAGAGATTACATTGAACTTTTGCTTTATCATCTAGCTTTATCTTCTATCTATACACTGTAGCATTCAACAATATCATTGCTATAAGTAAGAAATTTGATTAAAAATGCCTCTATCACCTATTAAATCGCCTCATCTTCGTTGCCTCTTTGATCATCAGCATTACCATTAAGAAAAAAAAAAATTAATAAGAAAAATAAGGAATTAAATTAAGTACACAAAAAGATAACGAAAGTCACAAAAACAAAATTAGAATACCATTTTTTTTTCCTTAACATTATAATTCCGTTATATCCAAGCGATTTATAATATTTTACAATTTCCTCAACTCCTATATAAGTTTATATTAATACCTATATAATATACTAAGTAATGTGTTTAAAGTCTTTTAATTTGATAGCACAATGAGAGGAGAAAAACAAAAACTTACTTAACTTACTTATCCTTAAAGTACTATGTAAGTTCAGAAACACACGTACATACACATTGTCATATATATTTTCTTGTGGACCAATGTACGGGTACATTAAGGAATAAGATTGCCATGTTGTAATATTTTTTTTTTGACTTTTCAGTCTTTCCTTGTTTTTCTTCGGCACATACGTCGTATGTATAAAGTACATACATACTCGTATAAGTACATACATACATTTATCTAGTACAGAACTTGGTT